GAGCCTGATCACTCGTGGACACATGCCTCACTGCCCAATGTCGAGTCACAGACACGGCAACTCCAGTGCAACGGATGAGGAAGACTCAAGTGACAGGGAGGCCAGGGCTCACACTAGGCACAGAAGCCTTGTGGGGAAATCACTTCTAGAGGCAACTTCCAGCCCTGCTCAAGGCTGCCTGGAGCACTACACTGAAAGGTACTGGAAAGCCATGCCCACTCAGCAGAATCATCACAAATCGTCATGGGACAGAATTACTTCAAAACTAAGGTCTACAGAGTCCCACTCACAACTGAGATGGGGTGAGTGGGACCAGCACCGAACAACACAATGACATGCCGGTGAGAGTACAACGTAAGCATAACCCAGAGTGGTGACAAGGCGAGATGTACCACATCATTCACTGATTTCCAGAAAGAGATCAGTGAGGATGACTGAAAATACCATGGACTTCAAGGAGGACCAATCTGTCCTGGAAGCAGTGCAGCCGGAATGCTCCTTGGAGGCGAGAATGGACATTCATCTCACCCACTTTGGTCATGGTGTCAGAAGGGACCATCCCTGGAGAAGGATGTCATGCTTGGTAAAGTGCAGGGTCGACGAAAAAGGGGAAGGCCCTCAACGAGATGGACTGACACTGTGGCTGGGATGATGGGCTCAGGTACAGCAAGGATCGTGAGGCTGGCATAGGACCAGGCAGTGTTTCATTCTGTTCTACACAAGGTCACTATGAGTTGGGGTCAACTCAGTGGTACCGAGCAAACGACACCAATACTGTTATTTTAAATTGGACACTACTGGTATACACTCTAAGGAGCCCTGGTGACAGAGCAGTTAAGCACTTGGCTGCTAACTGAAAAGCTGGCAGTTCTAACCCACCCAGCAGCCCACGGGAGACACACCTGGCAATATACATCCATGAAGATTAACATCTGGGGTCACTTGACAGCACCCAACAACAGTACGTACTACAGCAAAAGGCAGGTAATTATTATGTGAATGCTGTTAACAACAGAGAATTTCATCATGGAAGGAAAGACACCAAGGCTTTCTACCAGCACTGTACCTCTAAACCACACATTTCCTGACTGCGTTCACTACACAGGCTGAGAAACATTGCCAGCCAGTGACACTGAGCTGTCCCAGCCACCAGCCTGCACCTCCCTCCTAAAGGGATGAAGCTGCTGAGAGAAACAATGGATCGGAGTCTGAACCGCAATGGCCTGTCAGACAAGAAACCTTCCCCAGAAGACCAAGGTGTGTGGAGAAGACTCAGGGGCCAGTGGGAAGAGGGTCCCACAGGCTCAAGTGACAACAGAGTATCAGTAAGGAAAGTGACTGCAGTGGACTGAAAAGCACAAAACCGTTTTGAATCTATCAGCCACAAGAACATCAGCACAAAGGACACTTTGCCTCCTCTGGAGACACTACAATAAGCGCTCCTGCCCCCATACACCTCCAAACCCCTGCCCCATACAACCCAAAACCTGACCCATATGCCCCCAAAACCCTGCTCCAAACATCCCCCAAATCTGCCCCAAACACCCCAAGCCCTGCCCCAAACACCCCAGAACCTGCCCAATACCTCAAAGCCCTGTCCCAAACACCCCAGAACCTGCCCCAAACACCCCCAAAACCCTTCCCACGCACCCCAGAAGCCTGCCCCACATACCCCAGAGCCCTGCCCCATGCACCCCACAGAAACTCTGCCCCATGCACCCCGAGAGCCTACCCCACCCCCCCAGCACCCTGCCCCTGGATCCACATCTACTTAAGAAACACAGCACAGAGAGATGGTGGACTGCACCACAGGACTCAGTCTCAAAATCTCCAAGACAATCAGGAGGGAGAAGGGCAGAGAGGAAGGGGTTTCCCAGAAGCCTTGGGACCCGGCGCCCTGGTGGCGCTCTGGATTCCGATTCAAGCAACAGAATCAGCTGAGGCAACCAGGGAGATGGGAACAGAGACTACAGACTGGATGCCACTAAGGGATCACTGCCAACTCTTCCAACAGGCAGTCACGGTACTGCCGCAGTTTCCTGGATTTTTTTTTTAAGAATTCTGATCCCTCAGTGAAAAAAAAAAAAAAATTTTAAAATACTAAGTTTGGCATTTACTTCAAAATAATCCAGTTAGGGATGAGGTGAGTATGGGGCAGAGATGAAAGGTCATCGGTTGTTAACTATGGAAGTTCAGGGATGGCATGGGGGGGGTGGTCTCGCTGTATCCATCTCTCTACTTTAATGCACATTGTCAAACTTTCTAGAATTGAAGAAAAAAAGCCATACTGGGGAAAAGGATGTAACCATGTATGTCTCGGTATGGACAAACTCTTCCACTTCCGGCAAAACTGAGTGTGTACCATTGGTACGGGTACACATTTGTTCTTAACAGGCTACACCATGCACTTAGGGACCCTGGGGGCCCTGAAGCACTTGCTACCTAACCCGAAGGCTGGTGTTGACAACAGCACACACAAGAAAAGATGGGACAATCCGATTCGTCTGTTACAGCCTAATGAACTCTACGTTCTTGTTAGGTGCATCAAGTCAGCTCGGACTCACAGTGACTCTGCGTACACCAGAACCAAACAGCGCTCAGTCTCGCGCCAGCCTCACAATCCTTGCCATGTTTGAGTCCACTGTTGGAGTCACTGTGTCAATCCACCCAGTTGAGGGTCTTCCCCTTTCTCTGACCCTCTAATTTATCAAGCATGAAGCCCTTCCCGGGCGCCGGCCCCTCTTAACATTACCAAGGTAGGGGGGACGGAGTCTGGCTGTTCCGGCTTCCAGGGAGCATTCCGGCTGCACTTCTCCGACAATAGATCTGTCCATTCTTCTGGCAGTCTGTGGTACTTTCAGTATTCTTCTCCAACATCACAGTCCAAAGGCATCAACTCTTCTTCAGTCTTCCTTACTCACTGTCCAGCTTTCACATGCATATGAGGCAAATGAAAACACCATGGCTTGGGTCAGGAGCACTTCAGTCTTCAAAGTGACATCTTTGCTCTTTAGCCCCTGATGGAGGTCCCATGCAGCAGATGTCCCCAGTACAACATGACATCTGATTTGCTGACTGCTGCTTCCATGGATGTTGACTGTGGAACCAAGTAAAATGAAATCCCTGGCAACTTCAATCTTTTCTCCATCTATCGTGATGCTGCTTATTGGTCCAGTTGTGAGGATTTTCATTTTCTTTATGTTGAGATGTAATCCACACTGCACACTGTAGTCTTTAATCTTCATCAGTAAGTGCTTCAAGTCTTGACTTTCAGCAAGCAAGGCTGTGTCTTCTGCCTATCGCAGGTCGTTAATGAGTCTTCCTCCAATCCTGAGCCCACATTCTTCTTCATACAGTCCAGCTTTTCGGATTATTTGGTTAGCAGACAGACTGAATAAGTATAGCAAAAGGATACAACCTTGACGCACACCTTCCCTGATTTCAAACCATGCAGTGTGCCCCTTGTTCTGTTCGAACGACAGCCTCCTGGTCTATGCACAGGTTATACATGAGCACAATTAAGTGTTCCAGAATTTCCATTCTTCTCAATGCTATCCATAATTTGTTATGATCCACACAGTCTAATGTCTTTGCATGGTCAATAAAACATAGGTAAACATCTTTCTGATATTCTTTGCTTGGAAGCAAGCCAGGATCCATCTGACATCAGCAATGATGTCCCTCGTTCCATGTCCTGTTTTGAAGCCTGCTTGAGTTTCTGGAATTTCCCTGTCAACGTCCTTCTGTGATTGTTTCTGAATTGCTTGCATGTGATATTAATGATGTTCAATGGTTTGCACATTCTGTTGGATCCCCTTGATTTGGAACACGGATCTCTTCCAGTCGAACAAGCAGGTAGCTGTCTTCCAAATCCCTTAGCATAAACAAGTAAGAGTCTCCAGCACTGCGTGTTTGCTCACAGTTTCCAGTAACAGATCAGTGTTTCACTGCAGTTCATAAGGTTTTCAGCGCCCAATTTTTTCAGAAGTGGATGGCCTCTTCCTTCTTCTGAGTATCTCACTCTGCAAGCTGCACTGAAACCTGTCCACCATGGGTGACCCTGCTGGTATTTGAAATACCAGTGGCATAGCCTCCAGCCTCACAGCAACACACAGGATGACAAACTGACAGATGAGTGGCGGGGAAATTCTAAGGAGTACTATGATCTGACTTCACAGCATACAATAATAGCCACACCCATTAGCTTTAGTTAAGACCTCAAAAAAACAAAAACAAATCCACTGCTATCAAGTCAGATCCAACTGATAGCACCCTTAGAGGACAGGCTGCCTCATCTTTCTCCCGCAGACTGGCTCTTGGGCTCAAACCACCAGCCCTTCGGTTAGCAGCCTATTTTGGTTCCGTAGTGCTGCTCTGACAAGAAAATACCACCAATGGGATTCTTGAACAAACAGGAGTTTATTCCAAGTGCCAGGCTCTAGGGGCTAGGTGAAAGCCCCTTGACCTTGGGCTTCAGCTCTGTCTCTTGCTCCCAGCCCACTGAAGCTGGAGGCTTTTCTCCACTCAGGCAACTACTGGCTGCTGAGGCTGACAAACCCAAGGTCAAAAATAAAATGGCACAGTCCCAACATTATCAAACCAACCACCTGGCAGGCCATTGATTCAAGTCCACTCAAAGTCCCAGGACTGGCTGAGCATGGCAGGCTGCTGAACAACTTGGCTACTTGGAGGGTTCAAGCGTGCCATAAGCTAGACCATTTCCAAAGCTGCTTCTTATATACGGGAAGCAGACCACATCCCTAAAGCAGCTACTCAGCTGCTCCAATACATTCCACCATGCAGTTAATTACCAATCTTACCATGGGGAATAACTACATCCAGCTGCCCAGCCTCTCAACCAGGCCCAGCCAAGCTGAACAGAAACTCAACCACCACACAGCCCAATGCTTTACACAGAGCCACCCACTCATATATAAAAAAAAGGGAATGGAGTAACACCCCCTACACAGACATAAAAGAAAAACAATCCAAACTCGCACCTGAGTCAGGCCGCCCATCGGAGCTCCGAAATTCCTGCATTCTCTTCTCCAGTTTCTGCTGCCGCCGCCGCTTCATAACCACCTCAGGATTCGAGATGGTTCGGGTAAAGCTCGTCTCAGGCATATCTTTGTAAACCTCGGCAGCCAGCCGAGAATTCTCACTGTAAGGAAGGAAAAGAAACAGTCTCTTCATATTACAGATGGACACACTGCTATAATATTATATAATAATATCAACCAGAGGCCTGAGTATCACACACACAATTTTTAAGATGGTTTTGCTACCTGGCTACCTCTGCCCCGACACAGAAGTCCCTGAGTGGTGCAAACAGTGACGCACTCAGCTACACTAGCTGTTTGAACTCACGCAGAGCTGCCTAGACACAAAGGCCTGACGCCTGTCATCAAAGAACACAGCCCTGCAAACCCTCCAGAGCACCTTCCATGCTGCAACGCGTGGGGTCACCACAAGCTGGAACCGGCGCGACAGCCACTGCTCTGCTTGTCTGTTCTTTGGAGTGCCCTACCTAGGTCTTCTGTGTACTATTTACCACGTACTAATCACACAGTAAACAGCAAAGTTTTTCTCAGTGTAAATAATGCCATTGCGTACTCAGCAAACCTACGTCCACCACAGAATGAAACGCTGACCGACCTGTGCCATTCTCACAATCGCTGCTGTGTGTGAGCCCACCACTACGGCTCCATCCATCTCGCTGAGGGCCACCCTCTTTCTCACTGACCTCCCGCTTTATCCTGCATGATGGCCTGTCTTCAGAGACCCGTCCCACCTGATAACATGTCCCAAGTATGAAAGATCACGTGTCACCATCCTCGCATCTAAGGAGCATTTAGACTGCACTTCTTCCAGGGCAGGTTTGTTCAATCTTTTGGCAGTCTGTGGTATTTTCAATATTCTTCACCAGCACTCCAATGCAGAGGCATCAATTCTTCCACAGTTTTCCTTATTCACCATCCAGTGTTCACAAGCATGTGAGGTAGAAAATTTCTATGGTTTGGGTCCAGTGGACCTCAGTCCTCAAAGTGACATCTTTGCTTTCTAACACTTTAAAGAGGCTTAGTGCAGCAGAAGCCGATCTGTCCAGTACAGTGTATCATCTGAGTTCTTAACTGTTGCTTCCACGGACACTGATCATGGATGCAAGTAAAATGAAATCCCAGGCAACTTCAATCTTTTCTCTATCAAGACGGTCCAGTTATGAGGATTAGTTTTTCTCTATGTTGACGTGTAATCCATTCTGAAGGCTGCCGTCTTTGATCTTCATGAGTAAGTGCTTCAAGTCCTCTTCCCTTCAAGCAAGGCAGTATCATCTGTATATTGCAGGCTCTTCAATCCTGATGGCATGTTTTTCCTCATATAGTCCAGCTCCTAGGATTATTTGCTCAGCATACAGATTGAATAAGGAAGGTGAAATGAGACAACCCTGATGGACATTTTCCCTGATTTTAAACCATGCTGGATGCCCTTGTTCTGTTCAAACAATAGCTTCTCAGTCTGGGTACAGGTTCCTCATGAGCACAATTGAGTGTTCGGGAATTCTCATTCTTCTCAGTGTAATCCATAATCTGTCATGATCCCACAGTGCAGTGAATTACTTGGTATGGCTTTTCTAGCCATTGTCTTTGTGACTCCCACCGGATTACTGGGTGGGACCATGCAAATAAGGTGTGCAGAACTCCGATGTTGGGATTGGTTAGTTTTGCCAGTCTGCCACACAGAGGGGATCTCGCTGCCATCAAGAGAGAAGAGCTGGAGGTGAAGTGGAGTGTGTCCTTGGACCTGAGATCCCTGCAGTGGACCTCCTTGGCAGAGAGACACCCTGGCAGAGAGACAGTGGCAGTGGGACCAAGAGGCACGAGACAGAGCGGAAGGCTTACCTAGCCCACGGAGCGAGAACGCTGAGTGCCCTTGGACAGGAGGCTTGCTGACTGGGTGAGGCGCACCTAGGTGTACCTGTCGGCAGAGCTAAAAGAGTTTTGTAACATTTGCCTGAACAGGGCAGAGGCCAGGCCGAGAGGCCCAGGGCCAGAGAGGTGTCCCTGAGGGCACAGCAGAGGGCGGACTGTCCTGAACCAAGAATCGTATCCTGAGCACGTTCCTGAACCTGAACTGTACCGTTACTTCCCTAATAAACCCCACAATCGCGAGCATTGTCTTGTGAGATCTGTGTGGCCATTGCCATGAATTAGCGAACCCAGCAGAGAAGCAGTACATGCCATGGAAGGATGATTGGTGTCAGAACTGGTCAAAGGCTGCAGGGTGGCAGCATGTCTGGCCTCACAGGAATGAGCCTCGGGCCGCTGATGCTGATTCTGTCTTCCTCTTGCGAAGTTAGAGGAGGTCAGGAGGTGCCGCCTCCATGCCCTTTTTACATCCACATGGTCTAATGCCTCTGCATGGCCCATAAAACACAGGGAAACACCATTCTGGTATTGTTTGGTTTCAGCCTAGATCCATCTGATATTAGCAATGATATCTTTCATTCCACATCCTGTTTTGAATCTAGCTTGAATCTCTGGAAGTTCCCTGACAATACACTGCTGCAATCTTTTTAAATTCTCTTCAGGAAAATTTTACTAGCATGGGATATTAATGATATTGCTTGATAATTTCCACATTGTGTTTGATCCCTTTTCTTTGGAATGGGCATAAATACGGATCTCTTCCAGTCAGTTGGCCAGGTAGCTGTCTCCCAAATTTCCCGGCATAGCTGAGTAAGTGCCTCCAGTGCTGCATCCATTTGCTGAAACACTGCAATGGGTTTCCGTCAACTCCTGGAGCCTTGTTTTTTGCCAACTCCTTCAGTGCAGCTTGGATTTCTTCTTTCAATACCATTGGTTCTTGATCATAGGCCACCTCGTGAAACAGCTGAACATCAACCAGTTCTTTTTGGTACAGTGACTCTGTGGATTCCTTCCATCTTCTTTTGATGTTTCCTACATCAATATTTTGCCCAAAGAATCCTTCAATATTGCAGCTTGAGGCTTGAATCTCTTCTTCAGTTCCTTCAGCTTGAGAAATGCCAAGCATGTTCTTCCCTTTTGGTTCTCTAACTCCAGGTCTCTGCACACTTCATTACAATACTGTATTCGGTCTTCTCCAGCTGCCCTTTGAAATCTTCTGTTCATCATTTCTTCTGTTCCCTTTAGCTACTCACCATTCCATAGCCAGTTTCAGAGTCTCTTCTGACATCTATTTTGGTCTTTTCTTGCTTTCCTGTGTTTTTAATGACCATTTGCATTCATTACGATATTCTTGATGTCACCCCACAATCCATCTGGTTTTTGGTCACTGGTGTTCAGTGTGTCAAATCTATTCTTCAGATGATCTCTAAATTCAGATGGGACATAATCAACGTCATATTTTGGTTCTGGTGGACATGTATAAATTGTCTTCAGCTTCAACTTGAACTTGCATATGAACAATTGATCGTCTGTTCCATAGTCAGCTCCTGGTCTTGTTTTGACTAATGATATTGAGCTTCTACATCATCTCTTTCCACAGATGTAGTCAATCTTATTCCTGCATATCCCATCTGGTGAGGTCCACCTGCATAGTCACTGTTTATGTTGCCGAAAAAAGGTATCTGCAATGAATAAGGTCTTGTTCTTGCAAAATTCTATCATGCAATCCCCAGCATCATTTCTATCACCAAGGCCATATTTCCCGACTACTGGTGTTTCCGGCTTTTGCATTCTAATCACCAGTAGTAATCAGTACGTCCTGACTGCGTGTTTGCTCAATGTCAGACTTTGGGAAGTTGTAAAAATCTTCAATTTCTTCATCTTTGGCTTTAGTGGTTAGTGTGCAAATTTGAATAATTTCCACCATTTGTCCGTCAGTTTGTCCTATTTTGGAAGCTTTCATGTTGCTAGAGGCCATGCCACCAGTATTTCAAATATCAGCAGGGTCACCCGTGGTGGATAGGTTTCAGCAGAGTTCCAGGCTAAGGTAGACTGAAAAGAAGGACGGCCATCTACTTGTCAAAAAATTGCCCAGTGAAAATCTTACGAATATCAGTGAAACAGTGTCTGATATAGTACTGGAAAACTTGATGAACAGCCCTGAAACACTATCTGATACAATGCCAGAACATGAACCTCTCAGGTCAGAAGGCACTCAAAATAAGACTAGGGAAGAGCTGCTTCCTCAAAGTCAAGTCAGCCTTAATAACGTGGATGGAGTAAAGCTTTCGGGACCTTCATTTGCTGATGGGGCACATGATAGTTGGGGTTGTGTACCAACGTGGCTGGACCATGATTCTGAGTGGCCTAAGCAGGTATAATGCGGTTATTCCCACGATGAGATCTGATGTATGTACTTTGAGCAGCCAATCTGCTGAAAGAGAATTTCCCTAGGGGACATCCTGGGAAAAGGAGAGAACCTTCAGTGGATCTGGATTCTGTTGTGCTGCCTACAACTGTCCGTGAGCAAACAGTCCACCATTCTGCCTGATGATCTTGAATTCGTCATCCACTGAAGTCAACAACCTGTACATTGACTGTATACCGAGCTCATCAGCCCCTGCAGCTGGGTGAGTTGGCAAAAGCCTCCAGCCTGAAGTGGGATCCAGGAACTTCGGACTTGCCCGCCCCTATAACTGTGTGAGGAGCTCTGGTAGCATAGTGCCTAAGGCACTTGACTGCTAACCAGAAGGCTGGCGGTTCAAACCCACCAG